TTAGCATAAAAAATTTCTTAAGAAGAAAACTTTCAAGATGTTTTTTTTTTAAATAATGGTATCTCAGAAGAAACTAAATTAAAAGTTTTACTTAATTATAATGGGTGAGGAAGATTAAAAATATCTTTTTTTAAATAGTATTTTCACATTTACGGATTAATTTTAATTGATTGCTACACGTATTTTAAGCAGTATTTTTTCTTCTCAAAATAGCTTCATTGTAGGTAATTTACATGTAATTCAAAGAAAATCCCTTTATTTAAAATTAGTTTAAATTCCAATATCCTGATATATATGTGAGAAGTAACATATTAGATTAAAAATGAAGAAAAAAAAAACATTATTCATGAAGTTAAACATCAAAAACGGACCTCTATAACATTCAGAGACGGGTTAATAGATACCATTAATAAGTAGACATTCCCACTTAACAGTTCACACAGGCCATTTGACCTTAATATGATTTTGCAAACGAGAAAGACTTTAGAAAATTTTAGATACGTCAACTATTTATTATACTAAGTAATTATTTTGCCTGTTTGCCGGTCATAAAAGTAGGGGAAGTCTTCGAAAGAAAAATAATCATCTTACATCCAAACTCGAAAATCCTATTTCATATGTATTGGGGGATGGGACTTTTAAAATTATCTTCTATAATAAAAAGTTATGTTTGAAAAAAAAATTGAGATCAACCTCACCCCCCCTCCCTCTACTTTATGGCATGTGCCGTGAAAATGTTCCTCGTAAATGCAAACGTATTGTATAAAAATAAAGGGGCGGACTGGGGTTTTCATTGAGCAATTTTCGCGCATCATAGTAAAATGGAAGCGTATTTACTGTTTCAAAGCATGTTTTTTTACACTTAATCAATAACATTAAACAAAAATTAAGAAATTACAGTTTGAAAAATGTAATTACAATGTTATATAACTGATTTTTAACCTACTTTGCAGCTGTTAGATAGGTTGACGTCGGTATAGTGTGTTTGTGACGTTATGATAAACTGAAGCTCGTAAGGAAAGGGGGATTAAATATGTTATTAAAGAAAAAAATAATAACATACGCTCATGAAATTTAAAACATAGACATCTGAGAATCTCCACATTATTTTTAGTATAATTTCATGTAAATCCTTTATGACTGTCATATTTTGTAGTACTCTATAAAAAAGGAAAATTCATTAATTTTTGGTATTTTTGATACCCCCTCTGGTAACAAGACGGTAGAATTTTGTGTTTCTTACATATAATGTACAATATAGTATTACTAATCATATATTATAGTTTGAGCAAATGTCTATCGTAGTATTTGTATAATTTGCTATCAAGTGCTAAAATAGGCACTTTTCTATATAATTTCTATAGTAAATGTACCTGTATTTAGAGAATACCTGGACGGTAGATTTCTCCCAAACTCGGCGTGTACACTGAAGTTAATGTAAATTATATATGGTATGAAAATGAAGAGTTTCGCCATTATAGATTTCACACAATTAAACCCAAGTCGGCCCCCTAAGATCAAATTTGATCAAATGATTTTATTTAGTAGAGAAATTCAAACCAGATGTAAATAAAAAAGAATTTTTTTGTAAAGGTATTTTATCCCTAATAGCAACAGATTAAATAAAATTGAATACATTAAAGATGTGTAAGTGTAGAATACTAAGTTATGTGTAACTGTAGAATACTCAGTTTATTAGACATAGTTCCCGTCTATTACAATTAGCATGTAAGGGTCGGATGTGTCCTATATTGTAATTTATGACCTTGAAATTTGGTAAGAGTTATCTCCCTTCATTTTCAACTAATAAAAAAATCAATTCTGAAAAACTTATCTTGTAAAAAAAATTGTTTTGAATTGTCATTCTATTTCTAATGCGTAAATTCGTCTTTCGCCAGTATTTAATGATATTTCAATTATTCGTATTTTTATTTGAATAAAAACGTTTTTCCCCATAGACTTAATGCAATCTCCTTTAATTATCTACTGCTTAGTTAATGAAATGTTTAACATTTTCACGTGGGCAATTCTTTTCTATTGTAAAATGCTTCTATTTAATGTCAGAAGTAATTATGTACTTAATAGACATTTAAGGATAGAGAATTTGGTTCTATTACGGATTAAAATCCTTAATTAGCGGATATATGTACATTTAATATGTATTTTTTTTCTACCTTTTCGGTCGTTCAAAAAATTTAGTTATGCGTAGGTCACATTTAAGCCGATGGTCGGGCGACTAAATTTTTCTTGTCTTGTCGGCTGAAAGAACATGATCGGCCGATACAGTATCGGGCGACACAGAGCAGTCACATTAATTCCTAGAGACACAAATGACTTGGATAAATAACACAAAAAATCTTTTTTCTTTAGAATTCAGCAATATTTTTTTTTATAGATCTATATTCAGATAGGTGACGTGAGTAATGTTTGCAAGGCAAAATGGGAGAATCTTATGAAATTGTGACTCAATGTTGAAAATGTGTGCAAAATTTTGTATGGAATGGCATAAAAACGACAAATGCTGCCTATCTAAGCAGCAAAGAATACTTAAGATTTCTTTTTATCTTACGGATTAATTATTCATGTTATTTCCTTCAAAAAATTCATATCAATCCATGCATCAAAATTTTGTTTGTGTTATGCATCCTTACTCAGGGTTCTCCACATTTGAAAATTTAACCATGGAGGAAGCTGCGCGAAGGCAAAATGTGGTCGATAACACAAATGCGAGTTGGACTTCCTAATCTTCATTGATCAATGATTGGTTTTACAATTTTTAAACTTAACCACTGCAACACAAAACAATGGAATAACTAACACTTTTTAAAGTTAAAAAAATAATAATTAAATTGAAAAGGATTTATCCTGTATCTTACTTCACAAATGTACTAAAATTTGCCCCAAACTGTAGGAACCATCTAAAGGAATTTAAAGAAAAAATGTTGATACAGTTGTCAGTAACTATGGCATCCGGGCAATATTTTTCAGAAATTAATAATTATAAGAATTGTAGCCTGTTGTATGAATTCAGAAATGTTTTGTTTCAATATAATTATAAAACTGATGAATGGGTAGTATTTTCTTAAGGTAACACACAAAGGAACATTTGGACCAGTATTCCTTTTTTCTAAACGTTTTATTTTTCTAGATATTGCATTATTCACCAAGTTTTGTTTACTTCTCCACGTGCTCAGTGCTAAAAATAGCGCCACGCGAGTTTCATAACAACGGGAAGTAACTCCAAAACTACGATTATACCGCGATTAAAACTAAGCATGCAAGGATGGAGACTGAGACGTTAGGCCCTATGGACATTTTATCAAAAAAGATAAAAAGTTAAAGCTTTTAAAAACAGAGTATGGGAAATTGATTATCTACAGAGGAATATTAAATTTTTACAGAGTATTTTTTCTGACACAGCATGCATGACGATTATCATGCTCGAAATTGTCATCTTTTATAAACCCGTTATATATCTAATCTAAATATAGTGAACAAGTTGAAGTTCCCCAAAATTATTTACATGTGTACAGGATAATAAGCTCTCAAAATATTGATCATCTGATCAGCTGATTGACTCTCCATTGATTGTCACGCTTCACAGCATATCGTTAGTCACTGATTAACGACTGTGTTTGTTTGCACAGTCCGCTTTCCTTCGAGGCATGCGAGGTGCATTGTCTAAGTCGTAGTATAAACACAATTAACTACACAAGTCATTAAAAAAGTAGGTGTCAGGACTGAAATGCAATAAAATTTAATCATGGCGGCTGCCGATTTTAACCATGGAGCAGCTCCTTTAACCATGGCGCATATAAATTTAACCATGGCGGGCCGCCATGGTAAAACCCCTTGTGGAGAACCCTGCTTACTAGGTTAAATATTCACAAGTCGGCCAATCGTTGTCCGATCATCGAGCTCTGAGCTACAGTTTGATTTTAAGCGTCGGCCGAAATTTTAAACACCCTTATTTTTCAACGACGGACAACAGACTTAATAAACTGACCACCGATAGTCGGACGATGATCGAAGGTTGGTCGACGGATATTTTCAATTGAAGGAATCGGCCACCGACGCATAAAAAATCATAACTTGGACCGATAGACGCAAAATTGGTCGACCGACAAAAAAAGAGGTCAAAATCAGGCAAGACAAGGGCTGATAAACTGACGACTGTCATCCGAAGAATTCCATTTTGCCTCAAAACCCGTCGGCCGTTGTCGTTTTTGGAAATGTGACTGGGGTTTTACTGTTCACTATACACGTTTAACTTTTTTTCCAAGCTATATAATGCAGTACATATTTTTTCATCAATGTCCGAAAATTCGCACTTTTAAAGTGACCTTAAAGTTTATCAAATCAACCCATTTTTTAAAAAAATGCAGCTCAGTGAAATTCTTTAATTTTGCCAAGCGATTGAAATGGTGTATTCATGATTTAATAAATAGTGTAATTACAAATAGTTACATGGATATGCTGTATCTGAGATCGCAAACACTCTGAAGAAAACTAACGTTATATAACCCGAACGTTTCACCGTAGTTTACATGTCTTTGTTTGCCTAAGGTAAGTGTTTTAAACATTTTTTGTGTGCGAATTTTAATGGAAGTAATTAGTTTATTTAAAAATGGTATCGTGATTTAGATATTTAATGAACTTGCTGATAAAAAAAGCTTCACTATATCCCAGTTCCTTTGTAAGTTTATAAGTTTACAAGTTTAACATAGTCGATCATTATCAGATTATAACTTGATAAATAATATGGAAAGAGACACGGATAAGCTATTTCCTGTTATAAACACGTAACATAAGTCTTCAAGGTAAAATATTCATGATTACATACATTAAATATTAGGGTTTGAATTACTGAATACTTTTTTTTTCATTTTTTCATATTTTCTACTTTTACTTTCGTTTTAACTTCATTGTAGAGTAAAAGAAACATTTATAAAAAGTGGTCAATTTAGTAAATTTAGAACACATATCCATTGCTTATCTCACCTCTTGAATATTGGGACTGACAGTCTTAGCTTAAGTACACCATTGGCTGTTACATTTCACACCCCAGTCAATCAGACCAACATCTGTGAAACAGAAAAGATGTCTATAAATTGAAGCATTTTTCTATTTTTCTTTCAAACTTTTAAAATAAAATGATTAATCTAGCATATGTTTTGTTTGTTTTTCTTATTATCTCTAATAATTTCTCAAGGTAGATCATGTTAATCATTCAGGGTAGCAGGTACCCGTTATTAATGAAAAATGAAGAAAATCAGCAGGTTTTTGTAAGAAAAAGCTGGGTTATGGAAAGAGTGAAAACTAATGTAGATAAAATAATCAATGGAAAGAAAGAGAATTATATCAAGTTCAAATGTACATAAGATTAAAACAAATTCTATCAGCAGTGGGTGGCTGGCATCAGAGAATCAAATACATCCCCACTGAAAATTTTGTAATTTTGAAGGGGGGTGACCTACATTTTAGCCAATTTTCACGAACATTTCATGTAATTGATGTTAAATATGTATATTCTCATAAAAGGCAAATATATTTATTTGCATATCATTTCTTATTATTGACATAATTAATAAATTGATTAAATGCCAAGGGCAGATAAATCCTATTGTCTGACTGAATACAGTGCTCAATTGTACGCAAAGTGTTTAAATAACTGCAGTTCTGAGGAAATTTATTGTCTGATAATCTATAAAAAGTTCTAAATAACTTAAATATTAAGAGATTAACTAGATTTTCTAAGAAAATCATACCTTGGAACTCTTAATGAAAGCAAAGGGATCATCCCGAGAGTGTCCATGTGTTGTTCATTGTAAGAGGGTTACTGGGTAGGGTTCATTAATCTCTTCCTTCTTGATAATGCATTGCTGAAATACATTTTATTTTATTAAAACATACTGATAAATGCATCTAGTAGCTTATATAATAATTTTTTATTATTTATACCATCTTTTGAATTTTTTAAAAGTATTTGTGATGTAATACCTTTAAAATAATCATGTTAAAATAGAATTTACTCAGATAATTATTTTAAAAAATATCAAAGAAATTGAAAAAAAATAACTGCAGATAAACATGACTCTTGTTATTCAAATAAACCAAATTTAAACAAAATTTCTTCATTTTTCAGCATGATTAGAGCACAAAATTACCCCCCCCCCCTTTTCAGCAGAATATCAAGATGGATATGGCAATGAGGAGGGATATTCAGACACCTTTTTCATATTTTTTTCAGTTATAATTTTGCATATTTATTGCATTTTCAATGTATTTTCTGCAAAAATATATTGTACTGCAATTTCAATTAAATTTCCTACAAGTGATCTCTAAGTTTCACCAAAAGTACATGTATAACTTTTATTTCAAGCCAGCACTGATTACATGACTAAAACTGGCTTTTCTGCTGGATTATGCCCCTTATGTAAAAACAAAGTAACCTAATTAGTTAAAAGCAGTCAAATTTTGTTATAAATTATTCAATCAACTCTGATTAACACAAATTTGAAAGAGGATTACTCAATCTGTTCCAATGTCTACACTCAAAAAACACATGGATTTAAATGAATTTCTCAAACTGCGAGGGGGATATTCATATGTTTTGTGTATTGATGATACCCATAAATATTGATATTGTATTATTTACAATATTCACAGTAAATTTAGGTAGCAATATTTATTTAAAATTATTTACATCAACATTTATTGAAAATATGAGAGCTAGGGCAAAAATTTTGGCATTTTTTCACTATGTGCAGTCCCCATTGTGAGCCTTAATTTACCCAAACCCTCTAATTTTTAAACAAATAGTCAAAACTAAGTAAAATATAATCCCAATGCCAAAAAAATAGGAACTGATTGATTTTTTGGCTGTAATCAATTTTTATCCATGAAATCATACCTATTCTATAGGACAAACACCACCAAATGTTTTCCCATAGACTTCCATACAAACTTTAGCCCCTCTCACTGATACATGTATTGAATTTCGGGCAAATGACCTTTTTGTCGTGAAAGTTCGAGATATTGGAAAACAAAAAATGCCAGAAAAATTATACCGTGCCGTTGCACTTTTACTTTCAATTTCCATTTGTTTACAACTAGGTGCGTTTGACACCAAATGAAAATCTCTAACCAAAGTGCATTCCTCCCTTCAAATTTTTACCTGTAACTCCTATATACCTCAAAGAAACCCAAGTCTTGATATGAGATTTTTATCAACTTTATTTCACTTGTCAAATACATAACAAGTCTTTTCTCTTATTGACCAATCACGCGCCAGCTAGCATTTTCTCCTCCGCACAACTTTGGGTGTCCAAAATGTCTGCGCCCATGTATTTGTTTATGTAGGGGTTTTTCCTATAGAGTAAAAGAAACATTTATAAAAAGTGGTCAATTTAGTAAATTTAGAACACATATCCATTGCTTATCTCACCTCTTGAATATTGGGACTGACAGTCTTAGCTTAAGTACACCATTGGCTGTTACATTTCACACCCCAGTCAATCAGACCAACATCTGTGAAACAGAAAAGATGTCTATAAATTGAAGCATTTTTCTATTTTTCTTTCAAACTTTTAAAATAAAATGATTAATCTAGCATATGTTTTGTTTGTTTTTCTTATTATCTCTAATAATTTCTCAAGGTAGATCATGTTAATCATTCAGGGTAGCAGGTACCCGTTATTAATGAAAAATGAAGAAAATCAGCAGGTTTTTGTAAGAAAAAGCTGGGTTATGGAAAGAGTGAAAACTAATGTAGATAAAATAATCAATGGAAAGAAAGAGAATTATATCTAGTTCAAATGTACATAAGATTAAAACAAATTCTATCAGCAGTGGGTGGCTGGCATCAGAGAATCAAATACATCCCCACTGAAAATTTTGTAATTTTGAAGGGGGGTGACCTACATTTTAGCCAATTTTCATGAACATTTCATGTAATTGATGTTAAATATGTATATTCTCATAAAAGGCAAATATATTTATTTGCATATCATTTCTTATTATTGACATAATTAATAAATTGATTAAATGCCAAGGGCAGATAAATCATATTGTCTGACTGAATACAGTGCTCAATTGTACGCAAAGTGTTTAAATAACTGCAGTTCTGAGGAAATTTATTTTCTGATAATCTATAAAAAGTTCTAAATAACTTAAATATTAAGAGATTAACTAGATTTTCTAAGAAAATCATACCTTGGAACTCTTAATGAAAGCAAAGGGATCATCCCGAGAGTGTCCATGTGTTGTTCATTGTAAGAGGGTAGGGTTCATTAATCTCTTCCTTCTTGATAATGCATTGCTGAAATACATTTTATTTTATTAAAACATACTGATAAATGCATCTAGTAGCTTATATAATAATTTTTTATTATTTATACCATCTTTTGAATTTTTTAAAAGTATTTGTGATGTAATACCTTTAAAATAATCATGTTAAAATAGAATTTACTCAGATAATTATGAAAAAAAATATCAAAGAAATTGAAAAAAAATAACTGCAGATAAACATGACTCTTGTTATTCAAATAAACCAAATTTAAACAAAATTCCTTCATTTTTCAGCATGATTAGAGCACAAAATTACCCCCCCCCCCCCTTTTCAGCAGAATATCAAGATGGATATGGCAATGAGGAGGGATATTCAGACACCTTTTTCATATTTTTTTCAGTTATAATTTTGCATATTTATTGCATTTTCAATGTATTTTCTGCAAAAATATATTGTACTGCAATTTCAATTAAATTTCCTACAAGTGATCTCTAAGTTTCACCAAAAGTATAACTTTTATTTCAAGCCAGCACTGATTACATGACTAAAACTGGCTTTTCTGCTGGATTATGCCCCTTATGTAAAAACAAAGTAACCTAATTAGTTAAAAGCAGTCAAATTTTGTTATAAATTATTCAATCAACTCTGATTAACACAAATTTGAAAGAGGATTACTCAATCTGTTCCAATGTCTACACTCAAAAAACACATGGATTTAAATGAATTTCTCAAACTGCGAGGGGGATATTCATATGTTTTGTGTATTGATGATACCCATAAATATTGATATTGTATTATTTACAATATTCACAGTAAATTTAGGTAGAAATATTTATTTAAAATTATTTACATCAACATTTATTGAAAATATGAGAGCTAGGGCAAAAATTTTGGCATTTTTTCACTATGTGCAGTCCCCATTGTGAGCCTCAATTTACCCAAACCCTCTAATTTTTAAACAAATAGTCAAAACTAAGTAAAATATAATCCCAATGCCAAAACATAGGAACTGATTGATTTTTTGGCTGTAATCAATTTTTATCCATGAAATCATACCTATTCTATAGGACAAACACCACCAAATGTTTTCCCATAGACTTCCATACAAACTTTAGCCCCTCTCACTGATACATGTATTGAATTTCGGGCAAATGACCTTTTTGTCGTGAAAGTTCGAGATATTGGAAAACAAAAAATGCCAGAAAAAATATACCGTGCCGTTGCACTTTTACTTTCAATTTCCATTTGTTTACAACTAGGTGCGTTTGACACCAAATGAAAATCTCTAACCAAAGTGCATTCCTCCCTTCAAATTTTTACCTGTAACTCCTATATACCTCAAAGAAACCCAAGTCTTGATATGAGATTTTTATCAACTTTATTTCACTTGTCAAATACATAACAAGTCTTTTCTCTTATTGACCAATCACGCGCCAGCTAGCATTTTCTCCTCCGCACAACTTTGGGTGTCCAAAATGTCTGCGCCCATGTATTTGTTTATGTAGGGGTTTTTCCTATAGAGTAAAAGAAACATTTATAAAAAGTGGTCAATTTAGTAAATTTAGAACACATATCCATTGCTTATCTCACCTCTTGAATATTGGGACTGACAGTCTTAGCTTAAGTACACCATTGGCTGTTACATTTCACACCCCAGTCAATCAGACCAACATCTGTGAAACAGAAAAGATGTCTATAAATTGAAGCATTTTTCTATTTTTCTTTCAAACTTTTAAAATAAAATGATTAATCTAGCATATGTTTTGTTTGTTTTTCTTATTATCTCTAATAATTTCTCAAGGTAGATCATGTTAATCATTCAGGGTAGCAGGTACCCGTTATTAATGAAAAATGAAGAAAATCAGCAGGTTTTTGTAAGAAAAAGCTGGGTTATGGAAAGAGTGAAAACTAATGTAGATAAAATAATCAATGGAAAGAAAGAGAATTATATCTAGTTCAAATGTACATAAGATTAAAACAAATTCTATCAGCAGTGGGTGGCTGGCATCAGAGAATCAAATACATCCCCACTGAAAATTTTGTAATTTTGAAGGGGGTGACCTACATTTTAGCCAATTTTCATGAACATTTCATGTAATTGATGTTAAATATGTATATTCTCATAAAAGGCAAATATATTTATTTGCATATCATTTCTTATTATTGACATAATTAATAAATTGATTAAATGCCAAGGGCAGATAAATCATATTGTCTGACTGAATACAGTGCTCAATTGTACGCAAAGTGTTTAAATAACTGCAGTTCTGAGGAAATTTATTTTCTGATAATCTATAAAAAGTTCTAAATAACTTAAATATTAAGAGATTAACTAGATTTTCTAAGAAAATCATACCTTGGAACTCTTAATGAAAGCAAAGGGATCATCCCGAGAGTGTCCATGTGTTGTTCATTGTAAGAGGGTAGGGTTCATTAATCTCTTCCTTCTTGATAATGCATTGCTGAAATACATTTTATTTTATTAAAACATACTGATAAATGCATCTAGTAGCTTATATAATAATTTTTTATTATTTATACCATCTTTTGAATTTTTTAAAAGTATTTGTGATGTAATACCTTTAAAATAATCATGTTAAAATAGAATTTACTCAGATAATTATTTTAAAAAATATCAAAGAAATTGAAAAAAAATAACTGCAGATAAACATGACTCTTGTTATTCAAATAAACCAAATTTAAACAAAATTCCTTCATTTTTCAGCATGATTAGAGCACAAAATTACCCCCCCCCCCCTTTTCAGCAGAATATCAAGATGGATATGGCAATGAGGAGGGATATTCAGACACCTTTTTCATATTTTTTTCAGTTATAATTTTGCATATTTATTGCATTTTCAATGTATTTTCTGCAAAAATATATTGTACTGCAATTTCAATTAAATTTCCTACAAGTGATCTCTAAGTTTCACCAAAAGTATAACTTTTATTTCAAGCCAGCACTGATTACATGACTAAAACTGGCTTTTCTGCTGGATTATGCCCCTTATGTAAAAACAAAGTAACCTAATTAGTTAACAGCAGTCAAATTTTGTTATAAATTATTCAATCAACTCTGATTAACACAAATTTGAAAGAGGATTACTCAATCTGTTCCAATGTCTACACTCAAAAAACACATGGATTTAAATGAATTTCTCAAACTGCGAGGGGGATATTCATATGTTTTGTGTATTGATGATACCCATAAATATTGATATTGTATTATTTACAATATTCACAGTAAATTTAGGTAGAAATATTTATTTAAAATTATTTACATCAACATTTATTGAAAATATGAGAGCTAGGGCAAAAATTTTGGCATTTTTTCACTATGTGCAGTCCCCATTGTGAGCCTCAATTTACCCAAACCCTCTAATTTTTAAACAAATAGTCAAAACTAAGTAAAATATAATCCCAATGCCAAAAAAATAGGAACTGATTGATTTTTTGGCTGTAATCAATTTTTATCTATGAAATCATACCTATTCTATAGGACAAACACCACCAAATGTTTTCCCATAGACTTCCATACAAACTTTAGCCCCTCTCACTGATACATGTATTGAATTTCGGGCAAATGACCTTTTTGTCGTGAAAGTTCGAGATATTGGAAAACAAAAAATGCCAGAAAAATTATACCGTGCCGTTGCACTTTTACTTTCAATTTCCATTTGTTTACAACTAGGTGCGTTTGACACCAAATGAAAATCTCTAACCAAAGTGCATTCCTCCCTTCAAATTTTTACCTGTAACTCCTATATACCTCAAAGAAACCCAAGTCTTGATATGAGATTTTTATCAACTTTATTTCACTTGTCAAATACATAACAAGTCTTTTCTCTTATTGACCAATCACGCGCCAGCTAGCATTTTCTCCTCCGCACAACTTTGGGTGTCCAAAATGTCTGCGCCCATGTATTTGTTTATGTAGGGGTTTTTCCTGTATCAACTACAGAAACCGATTGAAATATTTTTTTTATAAAAAGTAGGAAAAGTGTCTTTTCTTATCAATATAGGGGAAAATGAAATGATTTTTTCGTGTAGATTGAACGCTTTTTAAAAATACACTGTAATAAAAATAGTCTTTCAAATATATTCATCACAATAATTATGAATTGAGAATAGATCTGTTCAATTTTATAATGTCAATATGGTCAAGTGATGACTGCACGTTGAGTAGTATTTACAAACATGGTCTTTATAAGAAATGAATTAGTAATTTAAAATACTGGCAAAGCAGGGAAATATTAAAAGTCCTGTGACACCAACTTATTTGAAATTTATTTTATTCAGTTATTAGAACAAAACATACAAAGATTATATATTTTCTAATCGAATGAGTTGAGAGAAGTTCACTTTAACTGATACAACCTGCTAGATTTTGCCTTAATCTTCTGGAAAGCTTAACAAAATACGCCGATTTTTTGAAGATAGATAACAATTATGAATCATTTATATCATGATAAAGAACATTGATAAATCAAGAAAATGTACATATTAAGAAATAGATTCAAATGTTGGGACTCATCTATACTTATATTTTAATTATCCTGTATATTTAACTGTCAGTAGAAAATTGAAGATACTTTATGGAATAGTATTGTAACGAGTAAATAAATAATTCTTCCGTGCTTGCGCGGGATTTCATAAAGTATGTAGGTATATTAGAGTAGGTCTTGGCAAACTAAATTTTATGAATCAAATCGTTTAATGTTTAAAGCGAAATGACCAAATTATTTAGTTGAAAGCCCATAAACATGATGTAAACAATATTTTTTAAATTATAATTTAATTATATTTAGATGACTGAAGTCAAGACTTCGAAGAACTGGCGTTCCGGCCTCAGTGTTGCTGAATGTAACAGATATATGCTTAAAAATGAGATCCATAGTGATGTCACATTTTTAGTGGGAAAAGAAGAAAAGCTTGTTCGCGCTCATAAATATGTTCTAGCGAGCAGAAGTCCCGTGCTTGACGCCATGTTTTATGGAGACCTGGCGGAAGCTAAGAAAATAAAAATTCCTGACATTGAACCCCCCTCATTTGATGTTCTCCTGAGGTAAAAATTGATTCATAAAATTTGTTTCTATTTATATTTCAAAAATGTAATCATATCCAATTGAAATGAAATGTTTTAAAGAAGAAAAATAAGTTGTTACAATTACAGTTAGTTTTAAATCAGATCTATTATACTTTAAGGGGAAAATTGATTGTAAAAGCAAGATAATGTATGTAGAGAAATCTTTTGTAATGATTTCTTTTTTTAGAATTAGATTTATCTGTAAAAGTTTAGAATTTTTTCAAGTCAAAAAAGTACAAAATCAAAAACTGCATTTTACACACAATTTTGAGAGAGAGAGAGTGTGTGTGTGAATAACATACAAAGTAATGCACGTCTTAAAAATCATTTTTTCTTGAATGTTTTTACGGATATTATTCTTTACAACATAACTGATGAAAAGATGAACTATAAAGCAACTCTTTGATTTTTAGTTCAGATTTTCTTTTTGTTTCAGATTTTTGTACTGTGGTGATATTGCTCTAAATCAAGACACCGTCATCGGAGTATTGTATGCTGCTGATAAATACGATGTCGATGAATTGAAGAAAGCAACACAATTGTACTTGGAAAAAAATATTACAAGTGAAACAGTCTGCACAATTCTTGAAAATGCAAAGATATTTAATCTTGAAAACCTCGTCGAAAATTGCAAAGAATTCATAAACGAAAATTGCACTTCCGTTTTACAGGTACCGTCCGCCTTTGAGTTATCAAATGAAACCCTCACTGAGATAATGTCATCTGAATATTTGAATGTAGATGAACTGACACTTTATAACTTTCTGATTGACTGGGCAGAAAAGCAATGCGAAAGAAAACACTTAAAGAAGTCTGATGTAAATATCAGAGAACAAATGGGAGACGCTATATTTCAAATCCGTTTCCAGTTTATGAAATTAGATACTTTTGCAAAATATGTCTGCAGACGAGAGATACTAAGTGAAAAAGAGAAATTGGACGTTATACAAGTGATTGTCGGAAATGTAAAGAAAATGGACACAAAATTCAATTCAAAGGAAAGAAAACCCTTAACTTTTACAATTTTTCGCTGCAGCGATCCCTGTGGCAGTTGGAATTATTGTTTGTACAAAGATTGTATTGAATTCACGGTGAATAAGAGTATAAAACTTCATGGTCTTGTGATGTGGGGAGGAAAAACTGTTCCATACACATACAGGATTGCAGGAAAATTATTTGAAAACTCAAATGAAGTATCAGATATACCTTTCCAGGTTATAAAACGATCTGATCCTTCGGATACTCAATTCAATATATCATTAACGGAACCAGTACATTTATCTCCAAATAGCAGATATAAAGTATGGATTCAACTTGATGGTCCCCAAAGCTGGGGAGGTAATTGCTATCAAAAGTCTGTTGAGAAAAAAGGTGTGCAGTTCATTTTTTACACACACAATGGAGAAAATAATTCAACCTCGGAAACTGGGGGACAATTTCCAGGTTTCGTCTTTTCAATTTGAGAATGTTAAACGTACATGTATAAAGATTTTTTTAAAAAAAATTAGTAAAAGTATTGGAAATTTGCTTTCCTCTTAAATAAAGAAAATTAAAACACACACGATTCTTTTTTTTTTGTCGGATTAGGACCGTTCATATTGTCATATTGGCATTTTTCCGACGACATTTTCTACTAAGCATTACTGCATATATTGCCGTCCATTGGTACGTACTATTAGCTGCAACATCTTGTACCGGAATTATTTTGTCTTCATTAATATATTGTTAAACCTTCTGGTCACAAAGACAGACATCGATCACTGCAATGCTTATAAATTATACTTTCACAGAAGAGCTACAATGCAGGTTTAAAGACTCATCCAGAATACCTTAAGTTTTGAATGACTACATAAACATTAAATAATAAGATATATCTAATGCATTTTATGATGTCGATAAATGCTTTTTGTTCCTCTTTACAATTTGTTTTCAAAACGGATGTCATTTAAAGTGCAACTTCTATACTATTTAGAACTTTATGTTCATGAAGAACATCTTGTTTTGAATAGTAGGGTGCGCTTTAATACTAGTATTCTAATATTAACCAGATCTCCAAAAATCAAAGTCATTGAATTTCGAATCCTTTTCTCTAATATATACTTATACCGAGTGCGAGCATATATTAGTTACGTGATTTAACAGTTCTAATCTTATTCCTCAATTCTTCATCTTTGCTCTCGTAATATTCGTTTGCTATGTTTTTCTTCTTAAATCTGGTAATCCACGTGGACAAAGGATTTTTCCGGTATGACTGTGTTTTGCAATATCAACTAGAACTACTTGTAACGGGAACCGTTACAGATGTTCCCCAAACGCCCCCTTTCGGTGTTATATCCCCTTTAAGCTTTATCAAATAATACAAACTGTATGCATTTTAGACTTTAACAACGATTTTCGGGAAGTATACCAAGTATATTCAAAATTTAGCATCGCACGCGTGTGCATGTGAATACATGTGCGTAATGACCATATCATCTTGTCTACACTAGTTATATATTTTGATATGTTAAATGTAAAAGCATTTAATCCAAAAGTATTAAAAATAGGATTAATCAAGTGTATTTGTATGTTTACTCATTTGGCGTGTCTGTGACCTCTTTATCTTCTATCCTGACAACCGAAATAAACACTGAAAGCTGTTTTGAAATACATGACCTTCATATTTCCTTCTTACCCTTGAGTCAAAGTCAGAGGTCAATGTTGATATTCAAGGTGAAAGGTCACGGAATAAAAGGCTTATATCAACATTTTATTTAGGTTATCAATGACCTTGGCCTTTGAACTTGCCCTAAGTATCAAGGTCAAAGATCAAAAGATTTTCTGCAGTACGTTACATGTCTTTACCTCCTGACGTTTAGAAGTGCCTAATTCTTCAAGACCAAAAACACTCAAGTATATTAGTCGTGTAATAACGCATTGTGTGCTCGCGCATGTACATGCACTCCTTGCATTCAATTTTGATAGTACTTGTAGCATAATCTAGGAATTCATCACAACTATTCATATTCCAAATTGAATCCTGTTTTATTGAGAACAAAGAAAGTTTTAGAAATTTAAGTTCAAGCAAAACAAAAGTAATATACTACAAAAAAGACTCAAACTTTACCAATGAAATCCTTACAAACGAATTGAATATACAATCCTCGGAAACTATCGATACAATAGGTAAATTATTGAATTCAAATAAGACATTATACAATGCAGATTGGAAATATAGAATGCAAATTAAAAAAAATACAATTCAAATGATTAGTTCTCTTGTAAAATTATAGAATATAATTAAAAATATAATACCCAGGTACAATTTAAATGGAAAATATCGAATATTGCAACGTTTAACGTTCCATAGATATATTAACATAGGCACATTACATTTTTTAATCTTTTATGAGTAAATAGTTCAATTTCCATCGTTTTCCAACATTTTATTAAATACAAAATGTTACTTTGACGGAATGTAAATTAGTTTTTCCATTTTTATTTTGTTACCTTTTTTCTTTGGTACAAAACATATTTTACATTTTTTTTATCATGTTGTTTATATACGAGGGTTGTTAGAAAAGTTGTATACTGTGAAGTGTGACATATGTCTGATTATGTTCCTATATTTTGTTTATTAGTATGTAAGAATTTAGGTCCATTTACTAAATTATAGAAAATTTACAAAGATTTTTACTGTGTGTTCATAGGATTCACGGAGCAACCACACGACGTTAAGTGACGTGGCAATCAAATTTCAAACCCGTTAAGCTTTTTCAGTGTTCTAAATATCTCTCAATCTTAAGACTTTTCTTCTCGTTTTTCTACCGAAGAATTAAATATCTTCATAAAGACATGTTCGTTTTCTTCTATAATGTTTTTGTGCTGTTTTGGATATTAGTGAGATCTTCAAATAAGGGATCAGCGCAGTAAAGCTAAACCAATGCAAAATCTATTGGCGCAACGTTCATGCAATAAGCAAGATTAGTGGGTTAATGGGATATCTCAGGAGTTGATCATTGAAAATGATAATTCTTTCATTCTTATAAAGCTACTACCTTTGGAATACTTTTGTCCTTTGTACGTAAAGGTAATTTCAGCAGCATTTAGAAGCATTTTAGTCTCTATTTAGACATTTCCCTGTATGCACACATAATTTTTAGTAGCCCGGTGCCCCATGACGTTCAATGACGTTCCCGTTCTTGGCTTAATTTTTACGCGTTGATAATATATAAATTGTTATAAAACAGTAATATACCCTCTAATTTAATTCAAAATTTCGCCAAGTGACGTTTCATGAAAACTGTAGCGACTGGTAAAATATCATTAGGCTTTTTGCGCTACAACTGTATAAACGAAGCATGCACCGTGAAGCATGTTTTATCAAAATAAAATAGCTATATATTTTTTATATATCACCGGAAAACACCAAATCTTTCTATATTTATTGGAAAATAGGTACAGTTTTTATTTGTGGAGTTTGACCGGTTTCATTGAAATAGCGCGCTCACAGTAGGACTTGTCCGAGAACTTTTCTAACAACCCTCGTATGTACTGAGATTTAGTTTCTCAAGAAATAGATCAGATCGGTACAGAGACACCAAAACTAAGATTTTAAATAAAACAGAAATAATCAAATAAATCAGAGATTGAATCTACGTGTCCACCGTTAACGACGAATTCTGTGAGTTTTCTACCACAAACAAAACCGATAGGAAGTTCCTTTACATCTTGTCGGAGATCATAACTACCACCACATCTTGGTACCAACTGCATAACATTGAATTGTTTCCTTCTTTGTCTACATTCGTTGTGCTCGTACAATTCACATTCCGTTCTGTTGAGTTTTCTTGCTTTATATAAAACCCTTGGTATCCTGTTTTCGTCAGCATCCGGTATCTTACCCAAGGGCAGGGACCACTTCCGGTGTGAGTGGGACATCTGTTGGCTTTAGCTATTATCTTTGAAATTCTTTCAAGAGATGACAAGGGAAATTTATCCTTTGAGATTCTTGACCAGAGACTTGTTGATTGGGATGATAAGTCACTCCTCCAGCAAGGAAGACAAAAAGAACTGTAGATGTGATGATCTGAAAAAAGATATATATATAGTTTTTTAGAGAAATGTTATGAAAATGTTTTGATACACCTCTGTTTGATGAATGCTTCTTTGAATATTGATGTATATTTTAATGATAGACCTCATCAGTTTACTCTCTTATACAAAATGCCTACAGAAGTTGGGTTTAATTTTTGGACATAAACAATCATTGAAGAATTAGATTTTGAATGCAACACAGTGTACTTCAGTACCGTATATACTCGCCTATAAGTCGGTTTTTTGGGAGTTAAATTTTGGTCTTAAAGTCTATGTCCGACTTACAGGCGAGTCATAGAGATTGGTATTTTTCTGGACGCTGAAATGTAGTATCTTGTGTGCATTTCCGACGGGTATCGAAGATTATTATAATGTCTGGATATATATGATGATTGATGTATTCTTATATCATAAAGTACAAGTATTTACATGTTTATGATTAATTTGTATCTTAAGTGAGCACTACTTGTTCGTTTAATGATTCAAGTTTAAATATCGATCTCAGTTAGAAAATATCAATTGAAACCAGGTTAAAACATCAATGGATTAACTTGAAATAGTCATCCGATTTTGGCAAAAAATTGTACTGACTTATAAGCGGGTCAATGGCAAATACCACCAAAATAACATCAAAAAAATACAACCGACTTATAGGCGAGTATATACGGTAATTCGGTTTTTGGACTAAAGGCCGAATTTTTTTTTTAAGAAACGTCAGTTACTTCCCGATTTAGTGATAGACGACTGTTTTACATGGATAGTAAAAATTGCAAAGTATTGATTTTTAACAACTTTCTTCTTTTAACCTTCTACAATCCAGGTCTTAGCATAACCCCTACCATGTAGGCAAATTACGTATTTATCATTCAACCAAACATTGTTTAATTCATAATTTTTTATTAAAATCAAAATTATGATCACTAAGTATTTATTAATTGTGTACGTATTTATTTTGATTTTTTATATTTTTTATATACATTATTTCTTCATCAATCTATTCATTCATTTTAAAATTGAAACCTGCACCCATTTATTTACCAAGATGTTGAATTCAATTGCAAAGTAAACAACAGTTCTCTAGGAAATTAACTTAACGTTGATCACGCGATCAAATCCTGTGAAGTCCGAAGGGCTTCTTAGTAGATTTGATCACGTACCAACTGAAAGTTCATTTCCCAATGAACTTTTTAAGATTGTTGTTTATTTCTTATATTTACATTTGAGACGAATAAATATAGAGTAAAACTGCTTTTATTACACCAACGGGCCTCCCCTATCGCTAGGTTATGACGTACAATGACCTTGAAGTTGTTTGGTCTTGAAAGTTCACCTATAGTTCCAACATTTGAGTGTTTACAATCATGTTTAGCAGTCCAGTTCAGGAAATATCTGCAGATAGTGAAAGAACAATTATCGCTGCTGAGGATAATCTAACTATTTCATAAGTTCTTAAATATCTGAAGTCAAAAGCGGTAGTGTCGCCTGTTTTAGTTTTCATAACTCCAAAGGAATTTTGGGTTTAAAAATGCAAGTGCGGTTTTAGGCTAATCATAGTATTTCATACCTTATTTACATCGAAAGAAGATTTATTGTATATGTCGTAATTGAAGAATATCGGATTCCATATTGGTTATTATTTTCTTTTTCAACGTTATTAACTTAGAAATATTCCAAAACAAGTTGCATCGTGACAGAAATATGTAGACAAAATATTACCTCGCTCTGTGATTCGGTCGCGCTATGACCATGACACCAAAAGGAAATTTGCACAGAATTGAATATATTTTCTCTTCAATAGGTTCATCTAAGAAAAATACTCGCTAATGTAAATGATTGGGATAACAAAGGTTGTATTCATGATTAAATTAAATTGTGTAACTACGAATACATGTATGCATTATCTGAAGTACTAGTATGCAACTTTTTGAGGAAAACGTACCCGAACGTTTCACCGTAGATTACACACATTTTGATAACTGAAGCCAGTAAAACCCCAGTCACATTTCCAAAAACGACCAACGGCCGATGGGTTTTGAAGCAAAAATGGGGTTCTTCGGGTGACAGTCGTCAGTTCATCGGCCGTTGTCTTGGCCGATGTTGACCTCTTTTTTTGTCGGCCGACCAATTTTGTGTTCATCGGTCCAAGTTATAATTTTTTTGCGTCGGTGGCCGATTTCTTCAATTGAAATAAGCCGTCGACCAACCTTCGATCATCGTCTGACCATCGGCGGTCAGTTTATCGAGTCGGTCGTCCTTCGTTCGACAACAAGGGTGTTTAAAATTTCGGCCGACGGTTAAAAGCAAACTGTAGCTCAGAGCTCGATGATCGGGCGACGATTGGCCGACTTGTGAATATCTAACCTATTAAGGATACATAACACAAACAAAATTTCGATGCATGGATTGATACATATATCTTGAACGGAAGTAACATAAATAATTAATCCGTAAGATATAAAAAAAATCTGAATTATTCTTTGCTGCTTAGATATGCACCATTTGTCGTTTTTATGCAGTTCAATACACAAATTTGCACACATTTTAAACTTTGAGTCACAATTTTATAAGATTCTGAAGCTTTGCCTTGCGAACATTTCTCACGTTACCTATCTGCATATAGATGTATGAAAAAATATTGCTGATTTCTCAAGAAAAAAGCAACCGATCTCTATGACTCGCCTGTAAGTCGGACATAGAGTTTAAGTCCAAGTCATCGGTGTCCCTAGGTATTAATGTGACTGCTCCGTGTCGCCCGATACTGTGTTGGCCGATCATGTTCTTTCAGCCGACAAGACCAAAAAAATTTATTCGCCCGACCAACGGCTTAAATGTGAACTAGGCTTAAAGGTAAGCGTTTAAAACCATCACTTTTTGTGCATTAATGTTCTCTCTACAACCATTTGCTGACGAAATGTCTAAATTTTGGGATGTAAAATGGTTATTTCGAGTTCAAAACAAGGCACTGTTGTCTTCAGAACAAGCGTAAAGAACCATGAAAGTAGTTCATGGACAGCAGCACATGATCTATTTTTAGCCCAGAATTTTTTCCAGACCACTTCTTATTATGGAGGCACAGAATGGTCTTGAATGAAGAAACATTAAACTACTGGAAAAGTAAAATTCTTATCTGAAAAGTCAATTAAAAAAGTTTCATGCAGATTGAAAACTTGAAAATACTTCGTAAAAAATCTTTTAAAAATTTTCATTAAAATTATTACTAAATAATTAAGAAATTAAATAAATATCTGTTCAAATTTTTAAAAATAAAAGTAGGTTAACATACTTAGTGGTCACACACTCAAAATAAATGGGATAAATCTTGTGGTAATTTGCCTTCAAAGATCGTTGATTTTCGTTAAGCACCTTGTGCTTCTGCTGGACTGATATGTATCGGATTTGATAAATAAATCCAATTATCTTAAGAGGTCGTTCGTGTAAACTTTTTCTTCGAATTTTTGAAAATGATAAAAATAACTTTTAAATATAAAATAAGGCTGATCTGAGAAAATCGCAGGCCTTGGAAAAACAGAGTGGTGATCAGGTTGCTTGGTGAAGAAAGTTTCCCCAGTTGAAAGGGTCACATCAACCGCGAGTCCTCTGTATTGAACACGTCGTTAAAAATTAAGAGCAAAACAATTCATAAAATGAATTTGAATGAAAGATGTCAGTTAAATCATTGACAAACCTTGACTAGTATTTACAAACATGGTCATTATAACGAAAATGATTTACATGTAGCAAAAATACTGACAATAAAGGATATTGCTGAGAGCCCAGTAACAATTACTTATTTGAAAGTGATATGACTGAGTTATTTGAATTAAACCTCTTGGAACTTCTATTTTTGAATCAAATGAGTTTGGAGAAATTCAGTGTAACTATATTATTCAACTTGCTAGATTGTACCTTAATCTTCTAAAAAGCGAGAATTTTTTTAGCATAATAACAATTTTGTTTATAAAGAACAATAATAAATCAAAAAAATTGACAAAAATGAACATATTTACAAATTTATTCAAATTCAAAGACTCATTTGTGAATTCATACTTTAGATTGGGTTTAGGCAAGCAATATATCAGAAACAAATCAGTAAATTTTTAAACCTTTCCCCTTTTCTTCCAGACTAGTCTTAAGCAGACATTGAAGTATGTAAATGTATTTATATTGTCACAATGAATTATGAATGACAGATTACTTAATTGTATGACAAACGAGATGTGTTTAGCTTTTTGTTGTCAACTGTTTTTTTTATTTTTAAGTAATATCCCGCTATCAACTGTATATGGTGTTAACTTCTTACATGGTATTTGCTTCTCAGCATATTCGATATTCCAATGCATGCTTCGAATGCGATCAGTTTCTTTATCGTGACTGGCTACTGTCAGATAAGTTTATGTTACAGGGATTTAAACATTATTTAACTTTCGAAATTCTATGGGTATAGTGATCTTGTAAGGAATTTGAAATTGTCAGTGGGTCCTATTTGTCTGACTTCTTTCATAACAATTGTTTGATCTTTGATTTATTTACTGGATATAAACGGAATGTTCAGTTTACCTGATCTATACAAAGTGATTAGGGCGGACGCTGAATACTTATTCTTATTTTGCACGAAATCTTTCCACGTGGATATACAGGGTCCGTGCTTTATGTCTAATTTACGGATTGATATTGTTTTTATTTTTTCTTGATGTTTCATTGTTCATTATTATACTAAACATGGTTTAACCTGAATGGAAACAAAAAAAATCTTGCTACTAGAAAGGACCTTTTGTTTCAATTATTTCTTTTATCTATTTCTAGGTACCTTTAAGTAATGTATCACTATATTACCAAAAAACTATAATACATGAAGAAAATTAAGAAAACAGCTTTGTGTTGTTTTGTTTATATCTGGAATGTAATTGTTTTCTCATTTAATGTCAGATTTTTGTATTGGGGAGATGTTGAGGTGAATAACGATACTGTAATCGGAGCCTTGTACGCTGCTGAAAAATACAACCTTGAGACGTTTAAAAAAGCTACGGAATCATACTTAGACAAGAACATTACAAATGAAACTGTTTTCTCAGTTTTTGCAAATGCAAAGTTATTTGGCTTGGAAGCTTTGTCTAAAAAATGCATAGAATTTATGAATGAGAAAGGCGCATACGTGTTTCAATCACCATTTGCCTTAGAGATAAGTAAGGACACCTTAAAGGAAATTTTATCCTCAGACAACCTAGATATTGAGGAGTTGAAAATTTATCATTTTCTGATAAGTTGGGGTGAAGGTCAGTGTGAGGTCAAAGGTCATGAGAAGTCGGATGAAAATATTAGAAATCAGATAGGAGACGCAGTGTATCGAGTCCGTTTTCAGTTCATGGATCTAGATATGTTTGTTAAAAACGTTTGCAGACGCAACATACTTACCTCGGAAGACAAATTAATTTTGCAGCAAGTGATTGTTGGTAACCTGGAGAAAGAGAGCACAAAATTTAATTTTGGAAAGCGGAAACCTACCTTGAAGGTTTGTAATGTTTTACGTAGTGGTAGCCATCTTGAAAGTTGGAGGTACTTCGATCATAAGAGGCGTAGACAGGATCATCGTACAGTCCCTTATTGGAAGCATCATTAAGGACGCATTTCTTTTCCTTATACGTATACGATTTGGCATAACATGCTTGCAAACACAATAAAAATAGTAAATATACCTTCATAGAACGTAGCTGGAGGAAATCCGTCGGATATCCAGTTCAAAAGTTTATTACAGAAAACCTATACTCTTAACTCCCAACAACATATATAAACTATGCATGAATATTCAGGGGCCATCAAGCTGGACAGGAACTCTGTTTAAGAACAAGGTGTTCAATTTGATTTTTTTTTTGACATGATGGAGAAAATAATGGAACTTTAGATTCCGGTGGACAATTTCATGGGTTTATCTGTTCATTGCAATACTAAAAATACCTGATTAAAAAATAAAGGTACTTTATTATTTTTTTTTCGAGAAAAAAGTGATATTTATATTGTTTTATATTTCTGAAAATGCCTACAGTATTAAAACATACCATTTTCACGAATTTCTTCAAATTTATTATGACCTGTAAAGTTTCATTTACAATTTATACAACGAAATAATTATATACTACGTCAAACATTGGGTTAAATACGACTACTGTGATAAGACTGTACCTATTTAAGGTCAAGATATAGTGAATAAAAGGTGAAAAATAATATTTAAAACTATTCTCAATGAAAAATTAAGAAAAACCGTCATGAATATGAAAGTTTTTTTTTCCATAGACGAAAGAAATTTATCCAGATTACCAACAGTCTCGCAGAAAAATAATAAAGGCCTTTTTCTCACCATGGTCCACTATTGATAATCATCTGAATGGCCTCTATCAGAATTTTTGATGTATTGCCAAAAGTCTCACAAAAAACTGAAATCTGAACGTTACCCAAAACAGTCATTTGATTATTAAATTTACTATTCTGTAAGTTCCAAAAGGTTTTTTCAAAAGTAGTGTTGGTAAATAACCTACCTTACATTAGCTTTAGGGGAAAGGTATATATTCCATTCACTTTTTGTAATCACTTAGGTGTGTACTTCATCATATTCTAGATTGAAAACATTATGACAAACACCTCCGAAAAAATATTTATAAATTCAGGTAACGTAGAACCTTCGTCGTATGACATAATATCTAGTGAATGTGTTAAGTCTATGGTAGATCCATTATGACGTCATAATCAATTTAATGTTACTTCTCCCGTATTTTACAATACAAAATATAAATTGAAGAAAAATCATTATGAAACTCATGGAATTCGATTTAAAATCATGCCAAATTATTCTTCATACAACCAATTTAATTAATTTGCTTATAAGTTTAATGACTTAAAATTTCTCGAACTAAACCGGATAAAACCAAAAGTATCTCTTGTAAAGAAATTGCACAACTTATTTTGATAATATGAATAGCATGCAGCAATTTTAAAGGAATGCAAAAATCCTACAAAATTTTCAGTTGCCAACTAAAAAATATGTTGACAAAATGTGTACGAGTCAAAGATGTGTGGATGATGGTACTTATATTTTGCTATGTCTATCATGAAATGATGTCCATTCCTTTTCATAATTACTTGCTAATTATTTTACTGATTGTTGTTTAATATCAATTTTTCTCTATCAAATATAATCTTTTAAATAAAAAATACAATTTTTGATACATATTCACACTGTAAATCTGAACATTACACCAAACAGTCATTTGATTATTAAATACTCTGTTCTGTAATTATAATTGTCAAAAGGTCAAGAAAAGTAGCACTGGTAAAAAGCCTACCAAACATAAGTTTTAGGGGAAAGATATATATTCTAATCACTTTTCTTAATCATTGGGTATGTTCTGCATCATATTCAAGACTGAAAACATTCTGATATATTCTAAATATTTAATAATTGAGGGTGGAAAATTGACTGAAAAAATATGTTCATTTGCCTATATTTTTTAAGTGGACTAATCTTTTTTATTATATGATTGAATAATTCCTATCTTTCTGATTGGCTGAAATCTAACAATGTAGAAGAAATAGTACGTTTTATTTACCCGTACGTGACGTCCCAGGTGAATACAAGGATTTATTTTTTCTACATTGATCTATAAATGGATTGGAAAATTCCAAATTGATTTGAATTGCTTTGGAAAGCTATTTAAACGACTATTTTTTTCGAGGTACGTCAACATCAACAGGGCTCCATCATCAAGTTATACGTCATGAATTTGAATTAGCAATCATTTATGTAGTTTTGCAGAGGAAGTCTGAACGTTTTTGTTAAAAACGAAAGTCGTAAGAGATAAATAGAAATCTATAATTGTGTGATTTGAGATTGGCTTTATCCAACTCGTTGAAATGGTGTATATTCGTTCGGCAAGTCTCGCGAATATATACACCATTTCAGCTCGCTGGATTAAGCCAATATCAAATCACACAATATAGATATCCTCTATTTATCCTTGAGCAATATTGCTTATTACTTTTCAGTTAATGGTGTCTACAAATAACGATTTTTGAAGAAGTATTTTTGTGATTTTCATATTCTTTTCATGACAAGTACCCTTCAAATTGACTGAAAATATGTAGTCGCATTATGTAGTTACCAAGTTTCACAGTCTGCACTACATTTATCAACAAGGAAACATGTAATGTGGTTTTTATCTGAATGATAAGCGAGTGCTAATTTATCATTTTGAAAAGTTTCCAAATCTTTGGGCAAAGTTGTTTTTACATACATGTAGGTTCTACTTTAAGCAAGGATATTGAGATTTTTAAACTGAAACATGTTTTGATTTACATGTAGCTATTCTTAAATTTAAAAAAAAGTTAAGCTAAAAAAAATGTGACGACAAAAAAAAAATTCATGTATTAAACTTGGTGAAAAATTACCTAAAACAGTTACTGCATATTTTTCTAAATTTCAGTTATGCATAAATATAGAATTTTGAAATCTTTCCAAACATAGACACTGCTAAATTTTAATACGAGAGTTTTGATAAGGTTGTACATGACATGGACAAAGTTTGCTTTCGGAGAAAGAAAGGCAATTAAGTTTGTTAATTTTTTTTTTTTAAAGAAATCGTTTTTGAGGGGGGAGAGGGGTCCGCAACTCCTCTCATACCACTGAATGAAATTTGATGAAACATTCACAGAATCTTTATTACATATTTGCATTGTGCACCTCCTATTTTACTTTTAGATCCGACACATGTTTTGGGTTTCCCATAGTTAAACATGGACACTGTCGTTATATTCCTATGGGAGACGAGGGTATCATTTAGTGAGCTCATGGCTCACAGTACCTCTAGTTTTTATTGAAATATGCATCTCAGAAGTCATATAATCCACTGATAACTCGCCAGTAAAAATTGTCACTACGTAGCACCTGGACACCCCTGGTCTATGCCGGTCAGTTTATTTGTTTAGGGAAAGTTACAAAAGTATAGAAATCTTACTGGTATTTTTGTTGATTAAGAAAAAAATGCAATTATTTTCAAAATAAATATTACTCTTGTCTGAAATGTTGTAAATAAAATTTATGAACATGGCTTAATTGACTACATAAAATATATTATATAACATGCATCAATACGAATCTTTCATATTTTGATTTTCCTGTGAAAGGAGGGGGGATAAAACATACATAACACTCTCGGAAAATAATTTAAACAAACATCTAAAGAGATGGAATTTCTTTACGATCATTTTTTGTTCAAGTAAATACTGTTTACTGGTTTATTTTTTTTTTATAAAGACATAAAATATCTTGTTTTCAAGTTATTTATAATTTAATATACAATTAATTAGTTCGATTCTGTGGTGCAAGGATGATCAAATTATAATTGAATGTAAAACCAGTTATAATTTAGACATGTGATAGTTTTGGTCAATAATCAAAGCATATAGGAAGGGAAAGCAAACTGCCGATGAGAATTCCATCTGAAACCTAAAATCACCTTTTTTTTATTGCCCTTGTCTAAATATTCTTTTTCATTATTCTTTATACGAGAAGGTTTTTGAGAAAGGTCTCAATCTTCCCATTCATATGATGTAGATTTCACGTTTATTTCCCTTTCAATTTGGGCGTTTTGGGTTATCTTTCTTGTCAAAGGTAAAATTATTATTCCATTTTTAAAACAAGTTTCGTTATCCCCGTCTGAAAAAATCCTTGATCTTTTCCAAGTCCTACATGTAATAAATGGAACCGGACGAGAAGTGCGTGGGATGTTATACCTATTATTTCCATTCTTGACTAACCAAAAAATCAAATACGGGTGTGGAAAAAAAATATCACATTTGTATATTTTTATGACAACTGCAAGCGCTAAAATTTATTTGCACCAATGCATTCTCACTTGCGTTTGCGCTAAAATACGTATGCGCCAAATTTTCTCCTTTTACAGTATCAAATTACTTGGATTATTACAAAAGAATTTTGCCATGAAAAACAATCGCAGACTATATGTGGAATGTTATTTAGAGATAGACAATTTTCAGTTACAATTTACGGTACAATGAAGTTGACCTTTTTGCACTTAAATTATAAATCTTTGGTTAATTTCTTAAACCTTCTTTATATTTTATCAGATGTATTTATGGCAAAAAATATTATCTTAAATTACTTAAAATATTTTGAATAATATTCATCATTGAAAAAATCTTGCAAATTAATCCGCGTAAATTATTGTGTGACCTTTTTGCACTAAAAAGTAACATATTTCGGGGTATTAAAAAACTAAATAGGCAATAAAACATTTTCTTATATAAAGCTTTTTACGACTTAAGTGCTGATCAGTCATAAGTATCGAGTACTTTAAAATATTGTAAGAAAAAGTTGGGGTCTGTGATGTTAATTTTGAAATATTGGTCAAAATATGTGATTTTCAGGCAAAAAATGGTGTTAATTTTATATTGACTTCTTTGACATATCTTCATTTTTTGGCAATGTTTGTTCAAGGAAGGTGTAAAACTTGTTCTTAAAATATAAATTAAGACCTACATTAAATATTCCTAGCAACATCAAAATGGAAAATATTCTCCGAGTAAAAGTATATGAGGCTAAAAGTCTAA